ACATTTCGATTTGTACGTGAGCGAAGGCAGGGCTTATGCTCTTGGTTTACGTTTGCGTGCACGCACTGCAATGAAGAACGGATCATTTCAACTGAGCACTTGAAGCAAACCAACATCAACGTGCATAACTTGCACCATTTCCGGTGCACGTTATGCAACGGAAATGGGGTCAGCTCGAGAGAAGAAATCTTTTCTCTCCCGAACATTCCTTGCATAACGCCGACAACATTCAGCAAATATGAAGAGAGCGCTGGGCTCAAGTGGGAAGACATTTTGCTTTCTGAAATGGTCACGGCTGGAAAGGAGCACAGAATGGCATGCGAATCCAGAGACCACACAAAGGATGGATTGCCGTACATAACTGTCGTCATCGATGCTGGATGGGTCCACCGCAGTTACGGCCACCGATACACGTCAAGCTCAGGTGTTGCGGTCATCATTGGCTCAAGAACGAAAATTTTTTTTTTTATACCTTTCTGTTTGTAACAAGTATTGCAATACTTGCGATTTCTACATGAGCAAAAACGAGACTTCAAGCATTCACGCTTGCTTCATAAACTGGGACGGGCCTTCAACGGCAATGGAGTCTGATATCATCGCCGAAGGATTCCGGAAAAGCTGCGAGATGCATGGCTTAGAATACAAAATAGTTGCGAGGGATGGAGGTTCCGACGTCGAAAAGGCCCTCAAAAACCGTGTTGATTATGGAAGGATGACAGCAAAGGTGGCTTGCGTTAACCATGTAAATAGGAACTACGCCAAGTCACTCTACGGCATTAGGAGCTCTGGAGGAAGACATGCAAAGCATTTGACAAATGTTAAAATTGGAAGATTGACAGCCGTGGCAAATGGAGCTATCTCTGCATCCCACGCGCTTAAGCAGAAAACCCGAAAAGCTCGCTAGCAGTCTGCGAAATGGACCGAGACATGTATTCGGAACGCATGACAACTGCTCCCCCCCCCCCCCCCCCCCCCCTCTACTGTCAACAGCATCAGCAGCAAGCATCAACCATATTTGAAGATCTACCGTACACGCTACAAACACACTTGATGTGTAGATTGAGGACTGGGAATAACCTCGCAGACAAAGCTTCTTCGCTTACTGAGGACTCTACCAGTAATCTGGCGGAAAACTACATGTGGGAAAGTTGCCTTGCTGCGTGCCCAACCCGGAAGAACAACACGGAGCCAAGATTTCGGAAAACGTGAAACCACATTTATTACTAAAGTGCAAACATAAAGTTAATATTAACAAAGGTCTTCGGTCGACACCGCCACAGCGTATTTTCCACAGCAGGCCTCGCTTCTCTTCCCCGTGGTCGGCGTCACCGCTGCTGCTTTTATCAGTTCTTTCACTGGGGGTAACGCCCACCGCGCTCTGTAGGCACAGTGGCGCCCCCTATAGTTTCCACAATATCTATAGTCTCAAAATTTTTCTGGCGGAAAACGCGGAAACCACGAGCGAAGAGGATCGTATTAAGGACAGTGTGTTGGAGCAGCAATCTCGTACAACGGTGGGAATGTGTCGATGGCGTCCTCTTCCGACTGCTCCTCTCTGAAACGGTACCCTCGAAAAGTGAAGAGAAAACGTCTGGCCGACGCATCATCTAAGGCATCACACTAAACTCCTTGATGGAAATCCAAGGTGAACACGCCGCATGGGGACATACATTACGGACCTAATGCTGAACAGCCTCAATCAGATCTTCCTGAAGAAGAGAGTCGAGCGAAGGTCAAAAGAAAACTTGCCATGCTTCGAGTCACCGGCCCTCAACATGAGCTCGAGAAAGCAACGGTCTGGCTTTCTGTGAATGAAAAGTGGGCTCTCGAAAGAAAAGATCGCCTGACAGCGTCCATGTTCGGGAAAGTTTGCAAGCGCTTAGCAAAGACGCTCTGCGCCAAACTGGTCCATCGACTTCTCTAAGCATAGCCTGTCCTGACACTCGCCATGAAGCGTGGCCAAGAACTTGAGTTCAAAGGAATTCGGGAGTGCGAGCAAAAGACAAACAACGTCGTAGAAAGACGCGGTTTATTTCAGGACATAGAACATAGATATATTGCAACTTCTCCCGACGGCTTGATTGGAGACGACGGACTCATTGAAGCGAAGTGCCCCGACACGACACTGCTTGAATTGTGGAAAACACGCAAAGATTTCTGCCTTCATTCTAGACCAGACACAAACCTGTGCCTCGAGAAGCGATATAATTTTTTTTACCAGATTTTAGGACAACTGAACACTTTGAAAAAGAGGTACTGCTTTCTCGTAGAAGGAACCTCAGGCGACACTCATATAGAAGTTGTCTAGCGCTACTGCGCTAGCATGATGAGAAATTCTGGAATGAACACATGCTTTTCTTTTGCAAGGAATGCCTGCTACCAGAGATCATCGATCCCCGTGTTTTCTATGGATTAGGAATACGGGAGCCACCTCGTATTCTCCAAGCAATACAACAGAAACAAAAATAAATGTTAAGTAAAAGAAAAAAAAAGGGAGGGGGGGCAGACAACTACTCCTAGCTTTAATTAGGAACAGCTCTGCAACCTTTTAGAAGACAATAGGTCGCCCTAAATATTTCACCTGAACTGAAATGCCGTTGCATGTTTAGCGAAACGATACCACTCACAGGGTCATAGGCGTAGACTACGGGGGACATCGGGGCTCGTTCCCCCCCCCCCCCCCCCCCCTGGTGAGATCCGGGGGGGGGGGGGGGGACGGGGGCTGAGCCCTCCCCCAGCTCCCGGGCCATGATCCTTACCGAGATGCTGTGTACGTGCCATGTAACGAGCTTCTAGTAGTGGCATGTAAACAAAATAACGCACACAGCGACGGACACATGGCGATATACATACGCTGTAAAATGCACCCCCTAAAATAAACTACTGACAATTTCCGGTGTAAAAAAAATTGCGCGGAAAAAAGAAAAGCACCCCCCCCCCCCCCCCTCCCCCCCCGGGAAAATGGAAAGTCTACGCCGCTGCACAGGGTTACAGCAGTAAAGACATGACAACAACGTTACGCCAAATGTTTTCGCAGAACTATAACACTCCGCCGATGTTTTCACATCACCGCGAAATTCACAGCTGCAGCAATGGTGAAAACGATAAGATATCGGCTGTTGACCGATTTAGAGCACTCCGACATTGTACTCACGTCCTCTGGTAGTGATCGAACCATGAGCGCGTTGGGAGAAAAATATGTATCGGGTCAGGAATCTTTGTGTGCTTGTCGCGTTGACTTGTTTTCATCCAAGGTTGACTCCTGTGCAGACATTCAACTGGTGTCTTTTGAGAGTTCAGCGAGTAAATGTCCTTCACTGATTTTCTGTGAGCTGTAGCGTAAAGCTTTGTTTTAAAACTCGTGCCTTATGAACGAGGTTTGTCATTTTAGCCATTTGAAATGCAATTGTCGTGACGTTGAGAACGTTACCATGTGCTGTACAGTACTTTATTGAACGTCAGTTGCGTCAGAATAATGTTATAATATTTGTATCCATAATAACTCTTGGCGTGTCAACAGGTAGGAGCCATTTCTGGGCTGCATGGTTCTTCGCAGGAGTTGCAAGATAATATACGTATATAACTTGTTTCTTGCCATGTGTATCGTCAGCTGTTGTCGATTATTTGTAACAGATAGTATTGCATAAGAGTGTTCTGTGTATTTCGCTGAGTGCGTATTGTGTTAAATGATAGTTTTGTATTCTGTAGTGGGTGCATTGCAGCTTACTCTCTTTTGGATACATGGTTTTGCGCAAAAAAGACGGACACAAGAAAGAGAAACAAACAGGAGCGCATTCTCTTTCCTTGGCTATAATGAAATGCTGGAAGTAAACTATGTTGTTCCACTTTTTTATGTGTTTTGTTCGTAATAACCCATAAGTTTGTTTAACTCATTGATAAAACTACAGACCATAAACATAAACTTCCGATGTGTCCTGTTCCACGTTAAAAGATAATTAAGGGCCTTCATGCGCAATTGTGATACATGTTTCAAGCGGAACTTGCAAAAAAGTATAAAACTCGTTTAGCATAACCGACAAAACAAGAACAAAAAATCTTAATATTATTTACACCTTTGGGATGTATCAACTTGTGTGTTATTGGCTGTAGTTAACATGCACCATAATTAAAAAAGGCCCTTCAAACAATTTTTTATTACTTTCTTTAGATACTAAACTAATCCTTGACGCTTGTAACCTAGGCATCACACAATCGTTTTTTTTTCTCCACGCATTGGCAGTCGCGAAATAAATTAAAAATAATAAGTAAAGTAAAGAAACATATCCGTCCGCTAGAATAGCGAGCACTTCGGGAACAGTTCGTGAAACAAGCATACGCTCAATTTAGCCGCGAATCTGTGACGGATGCTAATGCCGTGGCACACTGCGATGTTTTGAGCGGAAACGGCCGATTACACGGCTGCGATCGCCGGCGATCGCCCACGGCCACGGCGCTACAAGGCGAAAAGTAAATCGAGTGGATAAGGATGTGGCCTCGTCTTTTTTTTTGGTTTAAATATAATTGAAACTCATAAATTTGTGATTATTTGTTCTTTATGCCTCATATCTTCTCGTTATAGCGGGAATCGCGAGAGTTCAATTGCGGTTAATACTTTTTGACGCAGAGGGCTCTGTTACTGTGGCGGTGACAAGGCTCCGAAGGCCTCGACCATGGGGTGTTATTACGTGCCTTGCTCCGGCGCTTCTATTGGGTCGTGGGGCCGCAGCCTTCACAGTTCGCCAAGTTATCGTGAAACGGAGTAGAGATGTTTATCGTGTTCGACGGAGGACATTATGTGGGGACATAACTGCCACGGTAAGTTGGCTAATTAACTCAAATCTGTTCATGAACGTAATCAAGCCTAATCAAACGGCACTGTTTGAGTGGACCTTCATGATTGTAACGAAGCATTTTCGACGGAATAAACATGTGACAGCGACGTGTTTGATAAAAACACTCTCGAACGTTCTAACTAGTAGGCGAACTGTTCACTGGCTCACCGGCGGTGGCGACACCGGCGTAGACCCAGCACTGGCCGTACTTGACGGGCTTCTTGGTTCTGAAGAACTGCTGCAGGATCGCTGTACTTCCGGTCCAGGCGACCGGGGGAGTACCTCCGGGGAACGTGTTGGTCCACCTTCCCACCAGGACTCCGTTGTCGTCCGATGAGTTCACCTGGCCGCGGTAAAGGCGACCACCCCTGTACTGGTCACGGTGTCCCACGCGAGTCTTTAACTTTCGTTAGGGGCTAATGTACTGGGTGTCTCCGAACAAAATTCAGTGTTTGATTTTTTCCGACGGAAATATAAATTACGCATTGCCGAACGCTCAGTGTGCGCCCAAATCTAGCTCTAGCGATCAGGACCAGATGCCAAAGTTTCAGAGCTTACCGTTATTTGATTCTAAAGTTGTAAACGTTTTTCGCAAACTTTCAATGGAAAAGAGGCGGCCGACGAACCAAGCCCACGAATACATGGGAATGAAAGGCGTCTGAGACCGGAGACGGGCCCTATTTTTCGGTTGAAAGTTTCAGGAAATTACCTGTAATTTCTTAATAAGATAACGGTCAGTTCTGAAACGTTGGCATCTGATCCAGACCGCTAGCGTAAAAGTTTAACGGAGGCTGAGCGCTAAACAATGTGTGTTCAATAAAAAAAAAATGTTTTTGAGTGACACGTTGTTCTACGACATTTTTGTGCTGTCAAACGAGCGGCATATTAAAAAGGGACGCGTTTTCCAAATTAGAGGTAAAAATACAGTGAGCACGTGGGATAGGGCGTCACATGCATGTCACAAAAAGTTTGCGACACCACCACCTTTGTGTAAGTGATGCTATACTCAAACTGTATGGGCCATGTTACCATCACTTTTCAATAACACTGTTCAATGTAAAAAAAAAAAAAAAAAAAGAAACACAATGACCAAAAATGTTCTATACTGCATTTCGTCGTCATTTCCTCTAACTTTGATAAAACAAATGGTTTGCAATAATCACTTCATTATTAACCAAGTAAAACTGGGAGGCATTTGACATTTTAAGTTGGTTTTCTCGTACCTTTTAGTAATCTTCTATGACCGCGACAAAGTTATTCAGACACGTGCCATTGGAAGATCTGCCATATTTATGAGTATTTAATGTGTTACTTAAAAATAACGATGAAAGCACACTCAATGAGGTTGATTGCCCTAGGTTTGTAACCTCGACCTGTTTGCATTTATTATAATTTTCTGCTTGGTTCTCGTTGTCTTTGTTCATCTTATCTAATCACAGCACATCTCGATTCAGCGGTAGCGTGGGATAGCAAATTCCAACCCCCGTTTTTCACAGTCTCGGCACCCACAACACATTTTTAGATTTTTTTTTTCTCGCCCTAACATCTCCACGCATTGACCACAGGTGAGAGCGCGTAGATTTGATGACTTTTGTTGCACTAACACTCGTGCAACCAGGACACTTCCAAGCTCCCGATTCCCGCGTGTATACAGTCCTCAACGATTTGAAAGACCCATTCGGCGAGGCAGTTTCAGGCTGGTGCGCCGAATTCTCATTGGCCAGGCTCACATGATAGATGGGACAAAAATGAACCTTTGTTCCACTATTTATCTAAAAATAAAGTGTCTTGTTAGGTTACGGAGGGAGGGACGAGAACGCAGGAACGTCGAGCCAGGGTAGGGTTTTAGATATATTAAAAAAATATGAGGGGATGAGTGGGTCGCTCTCGGCTCAACCAGACCGAGCGTTCCTCCGGTCGCGCGCTCCCCTGGTCCCGCACTCCCCCTTTTTCTGTAAGGTCCGTGATGCACGTCACGGCTTGCGCGGCCTTCGCTCCCGTTGATTGGTAGAGCGGGAGGTGGTGGCGACAGTAATTTGGCTGCAGCCGGTTGTTCAAGATGGCGCCAGTCTTTCAGTGGTAGCTGATGAAGAAGTCTCGCGCCGTAGCATGCTTGAAAATAGCAAGTGCCCGAACGCTGTGGTCCGGGCACTTACTATCTGCAAGCATGCCACGGCGCGAGACTTCTTCTTTATAAACTACTATTGAAAGACTCGCGCCATCCTGAAGTGCCCGGATGCTGTGGTCGGGGGAATCGGTGGCCGAGTCGGCTAGAGCTCACACCAGCGCGGAGCACGTGAAGCGAAAGCTCGTGCTGCAGGACCCAGGGATCCTGTGTTCAATCCCCACCCGTGCCCGTTCCGATCTGGACGAGCATCGTACCGGCGTGCGGTCGCGTATCACTACCGTGTGGTGCACGTTAAAGACCCCAGGTTAGCGGCTGTACCGCACAGGCTAAATTGCTCATCTACAGCTGAGACACCGATGACCACTGAAGTAGACTATCTTCCGGTTGTATAAACATACCAACAACAATTTGCTTTGCGTTGGATGCTGTGTACTGCCGCGCAGGTCAGTGTTTCCACTCTTTAACCGTCTCTAACCAAAAAATGCTTATAAGTCGCCGCACAAACTCTTTAGGCAAATGGGTCGTTTATAATGTAGGAGACTGTACCAAATAAAACGTGGTAGACTAGGAACTGGAAATGAAGTCTGGTTCGCTTTCCGCCTACGCTCTATTGCTAATAAACCATGGATTTTGAACGCGTGAGACTATTGACACTGCACGTGCGAAGAAACCTGCCACTCATCGTGGCGAAGCATCCGAACGTGTCCTGTTCTACAGCCAGTGCCTGACGCCAGGAATGCCGAGTCGGTGTATATTCTGTCTCAACAGTTGCGTGCTTCGAACTGGGAAGAATAAGTGCCAGCGCGTGCCTTTAAAAAATAATTTTTCTTGCGGACATGCTTGTGCCAACAATTCCTGCTGCGTGAGCTCAGGATGCAACTTTACTTGCAATTTCGCAGTTGTGACTCGCTCACGTGGCAATAAAAGCGTGGTGGAAGCTACGGTAATCATCGTCGCAACAGAGAAATCGCAAGCAAAATCGCATTATGCGAATCACGCTTAACGCTTCAGCTCGTTCATGCGTCGGGCGGAATCACTCAGTCGCACTCCTGGATAGTTCAGAATATAAAGCGCCAAAAACGACAGGACAAAGAGGAGAGTAAACAAGACGAGGCGCACTCGCAACTACTCTCCTCTTTGTCCTGTCGTTTTTGGCGCTTTATATTCTGAACATGAACCAACTGGCCCAAATTTTCACTTTGCTCCTGAACAGTGCCGTTCAACAGAGCAGTCTTCTAGTCTTACCGCGGCCGAGATGTGTCTGCAGACCTTGATCGGGTCCGAACACGCGGTCACCGAAAAGTTTCCCACCTTTCGAAGCAGGTAGATGCAGCAATCTAGGACGTCGGGTTCGAACTGCAAAGAAATCGGGCATCGATCGCCATTTCAATCGTCCTTAATGTCGCCGACGAAGTTTCAACCAACATTACTCACAGCAACTTGAAATACAACTTATTAGCAATCTTTCTTCCGCTCACAGAGTTATCAGACAGGGACAAAAGTATGTTTGTGAACAACACTCGATTCAGGTGGTGCGATTTTACAAGCGGTTTCGCAGTTGCGACGTCGCTCATGCTGCAGGAAAAGTGTGGTGGAAGCTGCGGTGCTCAGCGTATAGCCGCTGCGAAATCGCACGAAACATCAAACCATGTGAGACAGGCGTGAATAATTCCAGAAATAAGAGTTGCGGCGCAGGCTAGCTGATAAAGGTTCATACTAAAAAAAAAAAAAAAAAAAACATGAGATGAGGAAAAAAAAAAAAAAAAACACTTGCAAGGGCCTGTAGCCCTTGCAAGATACAGGCAAGCGGCGCTTAGAATGAGTGTACGATAAAGTTAGCAGCAAGGGAGAGCTCTTACGAGACCGCCAGTGCGAGGTGGCTGCGCCACGAACCTCGGGTGCAAAATAAATCGAGACAGGCTTGGATTCTTTTCCCTTCAGCACTCACCAAAGCGGTGTTTTTACACAAATAATGAATAATGCATCTGCTCACCTGACCATACTTCCAGGGCGTTGCCCTCATCTCGTTGTTGCTTCCTCTCCAGATCAGGCCGGAGTGCATGAGGACATATTCAAATCTCTTGTCCTCTTCCTCCATATACACAAGGTCATCTTAGTTTTTATGGGAGTGAAAGAAAGAAAGCATCAGTGAAACAGTGCCTTCATGAACAATAGACCGATCTCACCCTGCGTTCGGCGCATGCGTGTTCGTTCTCAGGGGACAAGCGGCAATGCACGACACGGCTCGTGCCGTCTCATGATCTGCACGCGCAAAGCCCCAGCGAGGTCATTGCACGTGCAAAAAGACTAAAGTTCCCTGCACGCATCGCGGCAGCGGTGGCGTAGCCAAACTGGCTGGTGAGATCGGTCTATTCGGGTTACGCTCAGATACCGTCTGGACATACTGTTCTTTATCAATTGCTCCGCGTTTATTTTACTAGCTGACTCATTCATTAGGACTGCTCTTGCATATCCAGAAGTATCTTTAAGTCAAAGAGCAGAGTTCGACCCAAGCGAAAAGGGGATAAGGCCGATGTACTTATATTTCACTCTATTTGACGCAAATTTCTGAACTTCTTCAGACATAGTTGTTCAGATCTTGTTCAGAACTAGTTCAGATCTTGCTCAGAAATTGTTCGGGTCTTTCTCAGACCTTGTCCAGACCGTGCTCGAATACTAAGATCCCGAATCGCGTAAAGTAGTTGAATTAGCTCAAACAAATCAAAAGATCATAGTGTTTCTATACTGATGACCATATTTGAAATGCCTTACTCCGTAAACTTAATTCAATGCGCTCGCAGGCTTAACTGGCGCGGCTGCGGTTTATCGCGCCCACGAAGCTTTCACTTCTGGAGAGTTGCAGAAATTTCACAGCCATTCAGAGCTACAACTCGAGACCTATCTTTTCAAAACGATTGTCGCGCTACGGGCAATGTTGTTCATTCATTGCGCAGTCATGAACTGTATTAGTTCATAGTTAGGCATTGTGCCTAAAAAAAAAAAAAAAGAAGAAGAGGAAGTGGCTGTACATATGGACGCTTTACAGCAGCTGTGCATGGGCGCCGCCATAACTGACCTTCAGTTTTTGTTCCCTCTTATTCCATTCGCTTCACTTCATCATTACCACAGCAGGACAGGTTATTGCCATTTTAGATGCTACTGTGTTGTTGTGCCCAGCATAGGCCCTTGTGAAGACCCGTCAACGCCCGCTTCAGTGGCTCGGCATCTCGGTAAGACCAGAGAAGGGCGGCTATGGCGGCTCGATCTGGCGCGTGTGTAAAGCGTCTATAGTTTCTCGATTTTAGAAAGTCGGGAATTCACCTTTGCACCAGGGATTGAATAAAATACAGATGCTGTCCTTGTGCCGGTAGCGGTCACCCGGAATACTATCATCCGTGCGGAGCTTAGTGTCGATGTCCATAAACCACTCGCCAACAATAGCATTCGCCGACGGCTTAATCTGTAACAGAAAACGTAGACGCTATTTTAAATAAATAAATAATAAAAAAAACCGTATACCGTTATTTGAAAACAGTTCTGTGCACTGTCCAACGTACGGGCCCGAGTATGTGACTTGCGAAAATTAATTCTTATTGTGAGTGCTTGTCCATGCAAAGCTTTTCGCATACCTGCGCATACCTTTAATTGATGACGCTGCGCAAAACTTGCTAGATTGAGTTTGTGCACCTTGAAAGAAGAATCTAATGAACGAGGCTGAGCACGCTCACATGAGAAATATTAAAAAAAACATAATAATTCACAACCTCGCGGCACACGAGAGCAACAGGATTTTCGTGTGTTTTTATAAATGTTGCAATCTTCAAATATTTTGTAATCTTCACATTTTCAAACATTCTGTTTGGCAGTGCCAATATAAGTGTTGTGAGCTGTCTTGGGCACGTTGTCGAACGAAAAGGAAATAATTATTCCTAAATATGAGGGTTGACTACCTCGAGAAGGCGTTAATTTAGACTTGACCCACATCGCTCTCAAAGGAATTTAAAAAATACATATATATATATACTATAGAGTGTATTCACTCGACGCCATATTTGAGGGCGATGTTTAGATCGCATGATCAGAACGAGCTCACATTAATAGGCTGCTAGGACCGGCAATCTTTATGGTGTGGAATGCACGTTGCAAAATAACTGTGGAAGCTCGACATCAGCACGCGCTCAGCAGTCGCGCACACAGTTATGCCGGACAGTGAATATTTCCTATAGGGAGCGTACACACTATTATGCTCTGTTTCACCTTATGATGTACCGCTGGAAAGGCTACAAGCGCGAGCTCCTTGCTCTAAGTACATCTCGGCGGCACAAGCTCTCGTGCGTTAAGAGCAGCTCCCAACGCTATGAGCTCGCGATTCTAGCCTTCTCTGCGGTACAACATAAGGTGAAACGGAGTATAGTGGGTCACACAATAGGCCCTTTTCAAAAGTTCATCGAGCAACATTGGCGGTCGCCATTTTTTTTTTTCTTTAGCACGAAGCGTGCGATTAGGTCAGAGCCCTCTTCGAACACGAACGGAGCCCCCGTGCCCCCACAAACAATGGCAGTCAGGCAATGGCGCGCATTTTTGAAAATAGCCTTTTGTCTGAGCTTGTCGTTTATCCATTATGTTTACATCAACAATATCCCTAATGTGCTGAATCTCGTTGCTTAGGTGAGTGGGAGATTCTTATTTCTATTATTTTGTGGACGTCAAAGGAATGAGGTATTGAAGAGCGCACAATCTTTGGAGACCTAAGCGTGCGCTGACACCAATTTTCCTTGCTCCGAGACATGGTAGGACGTTGTGCAGGTCTATTGCCCCAAAACTATGATCCATATATGTCCAAGGCATAGTTCGTAGCAGAAGTAACAAAACAAATATAAAATGAGAGAGTAAGCAAATGCTAGTAATTTTGTAGCGCGTGAAGTGCAGTCTCCAAACCTAGGCCTACACTCGCAGGACACTGATTGCGAGCGCATTGTTGTGAAGGTGCAGTCCTTCCCCAAGAGACTTCGTGCTATCGCCGGTGCCTGTTCACTATCGCCAAGTAAGGGCGGCGAACACAAGCGAACGCATAGCCGTTGTCGGCCTTACGCGGGTGGTTCAGGACGCCATCGATGGCGTCTGTAGTAAGATTTCACCTAGTTCCAACGCTGGGAATATAGAAAGGAACATCAGGTTTGGTGAAAAGTTTTTTTGAAAGCGGATCATAAAAAGTGTTCACCGTCCTTTTCGCACACACACAGCCACCGTCTTGTCGTTCTCAACTGATGATGCGTCACCAGGATCACACGGATTTAGACACATCTTGGTCGTGACGTCACAGGTAGGAATTTCAAGAAGGCACTACCTATTTCCACAGAAGACGGAAGAAGTAATGCACGAAAGAAAGTGACGAACCTCGACGGTAAGTCGTTTTTCCTCGATGTTCTTGACAACGGCAGTCCACGAGTTTCTCAGCGTTTCGGGAGATGTCCCGAATACCAGCGGCGCTATCGCCACGGTGTTTTTAGTATGAGTTGGGCTCTCCTCATCTGTAGAAAAAACAAAAAAAAAAATTAAAATAAGAAACTCAAAACATAATTTTATAATGACAACCTCACAAAGCAGGTGCTCGCGCAAGGACGAACACTACAGACCTGTATCGAAAGGGCTCTCGATTCGCGTAAAAAACAAAGTCCGTCTATTTCTATTTACGAAGTATTGATAGCAAAAAATACTTCCGACGCCCCCCCCCCCTCCCTTTTTTACACACACACACACACACACGCACGCACGCACACACACGCGCGCGCACACACACACACGCACACACATGCACGTACGCACGCACGCACACACACACTTTACAAAATAGTGTGCCAAATGAAATTTTAAAAAAAAGCATATGCATGTGAACCCTATACTGCGAGCGAAGTGACAGCAAACAGCTGAACCGGTGGTGTCACAAGGGGGGCGGGGGGGGGGGGGGTAGATTGCCCTGGGTGCAGCGCTAAGCAGTGAAAAGGGCGGGGGGGGGGGGGGGGGGGGTGTCGCGGCGGGCTACGAAAGCGGGGGAGGAAGGGGGAGGAGAGGGGGGGGGGGGTCGCGGCGGGCCACCGCCCCGGGCGCCACTGACGTATTGTGACGCCACTGAACCGAACTGTTCGGATATCGAGAGAAGGGCGGTTCGAAACTTACCCGCCACACTGAAAACGAAGACCAGACCGTCGACGTCCCGGTTGTAGTCCCTGGTGAACTCGATCCTGATGACGAATGGATCCCCTCGACGCACGACCAGGCACGGGTTCTCAGTCCGCGTTCTGTGGTACCCCTTGGTGTTGTGCCGCTCCGTGTTCTCGACCACGTTCAGGTCCACGGCCCGCACCCTGATGGGCCAGTCGGCTCTGCCGGCTGAAGCACAACCACAGAGCCCAACGCCCTAAGCTGACCCTCACAATCACGATCCCCACTTATGCTCCCGTATTGTGGCCGCGCTCACACTGCTCGCACGAAAGACGGTCAGCGGACACTAGGGAGTTTTAGGGAACCGTTATTGCACATCCGATACGGTACGATAAGTTCTTTGGTACGAACTGCGCATGCGCGAGTCTTCTGCGGTCGCGCATGGGCAGTACGTACCGGAGGGTCCATCGTGCCGTATCGGAAGTGCAAAAACGGTTCCCTGAAACTCTCTACTGTCCGAGGCGCGTTTCTTCCTCGTATGACGGTCACATTGGTCGTACGAAAACTGTCTGCAGACACACTCGAAGCACGCATATCTAGGAAGCGAAAAACATGCTTCGTCATGCTTGAGGAGCGTCCGCAGATTACTTCTGACCAGAGTGTCTGCAGCAGCGAATACCCTGTCCAGAGCATCTTATCCCTCCGCAGCCATTGCGATTTAGGGATAATGTCGGGTTCACGTGGTGCGATTCTGTTTGCGATTTAAGAATTGTTAAGTCGCTCGCGTGGCGAAAAAAAAAAAAAAAGAAACCTGGGGGAGGCTGCGGTGCTCGTCGTCGCACCGCGAAATCGCGAGCAAAATGTGAAACCCCGAAGGACGAATCATTGAAGCATGAAACTTGAACATAAAAGCCACGCAGTGCGTTACTTGGGCTGTCAGCGAACAGGGGCAGTTTGTCTACCTGCAGCTTATTGCAATATACGAAGTGCAGGAGAGGCTCCGCACCCCCCCCCCCCCCCCCCCCCTACACCTCGAATTCGCAGGGAGAATGACGTCACTGTACGCCACCCAGTACAAATGCAATCTTTGTCTAAGATCCCGGAAGAAGAATATCCGTTAGCGCTTCTCGGCCAAGGGTATTCAAGTTGATGGTGTTTTTTATTTACATTTTCCGAAGGCTCTTGATCTGATCCCGCGCAGGTTTGTTTTGCACAAATTATTAGTGCTTAACATTCATGAAACCATATTTCAGTGGTTGGAAGCTTACTTCACCAATCGCATGAAATGTGTTGCACAGGGTGTCCCCCCAAAAATATTTCGTTTATTTTTTTTTTTTTTATCAGTCGCAAAAATAAACTACGCATTGCCGAACGTTAAGTTTCCGCCCAATTGTAGCGCTGCAGTGGTCTGGACTAGATGCCAAAGTTTCAGAACGAACGGTTATCTAATTGGAAGGTTATAAATGATTTCCTGAAATTTCTAACGGGGAAAGGGTGGCCGACGAAGCCATCGAATACATGGGGCTCAATGGCGCAAACTACCGGAAACGGGCACCATTTTCCCGTCGAAAGTTTCAGAAAATTCATTCTAACTTTGGAATAAGACACGTCTGGCTCTAAAACTTTGGCATCTGGTCCGGAACGCTAGCTCTACCTTTGGGCGGAGCGTTCGGCGATGTGTACTTTCTTTTTGTGGTGAATAAAACAACAAAAACAACAACAACGACGACGACGACGGCAACGACAACGACAACGACAACAACAACAACAGCAACAACAACAAGACTACTACTTCATTTTTAAGGGGAACACGGTGTAGGTAATAAAAAATAATAATCAGAAACACTTCACACAAAGTACTTTGTTTAGAGCGCTGTATTTTTTTTTTTTACACTCCACACAAAGTACTTTGTTTAGAGCGCTGTATTTTTTTTTTTTTTTTACACTCCACACAAAGTACTTTGTTTAGAGCGCTGTATTTTTTTTTTTTTTTTTCACACTCCTTGTACGATTTTGCTCGCGATGTCGCAGCTGCGACGTCGGGCACCCCCCAGTTTTCCCCACGCTCCTTTGTGCCACACGAGCGACGTCGCAACTGTGAAATCGCAAGTGAACTCGCACCATGTGAATCAGGAATTAACGGTGCACCTTACGAAACAGTGAAGGTGCAGCTCCCTTCCTGCGAAAAATTAGATCAGCACTCTTGACATGTTCAACGGCGGACGCCGACGCAGGTGGCCGAGTTAAACTGAGGATTCTGTTTGTGGCACCATCTCTTGATAGGCGCAGCAAGCAGACGGTGGCACTCGATGGAAAGCAGACGACGAGCCTCGGTTAGAGAGAACCAAGCGCGGGCCTCGGGTTTGAGAGCCTGTATTCCAAAGAGTTTCCAACTGCTCGGTCGGGGTCACCTGGTTTATGGGCCGCATTTGAAATACGAGCTGCAAGGAGGAGACGAAAGCGTCGGTCGTCTGCAAACGTCTCCGCTTTTCCGCCTGCTTTCCTCCTCGCCACGCGAAGACTCAGCGCATGCGCACTTGCGACTGATTGCCGCAGGTGGTGTCCGCCACTAAATGGCAAACGCTCCCCATGGTTTCAGATGGACCCACTCTTCAACCTAGGCTTTTTGGTTAACTCGATCGCCTGCGTGAGCGTGCGTCGTTTTAATACGTTAAAAGTGTTGGTCAATTTTTTTTTTTTCACAGGAATCATCTTATATTTTGAAATTTTGTGAGGTAAAAGGCATCGCTAAAATACGCTATTGCTGGAAGTTGGAAATCGCTGCGTGAAGGTGCCGGTTTTTCCGACTGATTCTAGAGCGAGCACCGTATTCATTACACTTTATAATAAACATCAGGTATTTATTGGGTGTCAGTATATTTAGTACAATATGATAAAATAATTGTATGGTTCATTTAACGGACAAGCACCAACACAACGAAGATTTCGCTTGTGCTCTAAATTATTTATCGGGCCCTTTGTGGGTCGTCATTCCAGATGCACTTCGTTAACATGAAAAATACCCCCCCCCCCCCCGGCCCCCTTTTCTCCCCCTCTGTTTTGAAGGTCAGGTATCTCAAGAAATCAGATACATGTGAAAGCGTTCCTGCGTGTGTCACTAGAGAAGTGACACAGCCCGCAGTGTCACAGTCGACAGAGGGACAGCTGCAAGGAGAACACACAATGGGTTCAAAATAGGCCGGCCCAAGCGCACAGCGTGTTTTAAAAACGAGCAGTAGCGAACAATAGGAGATAAAAATGGAAATCGACGCATGGGTGGACTTTTGGAAGACAGAGCTCCTCCGCCGGCCTTGAGGCTGCCCGGCTAAGGAAGCTTGCTCTGATGCCTTCTTCGCCTAAAGGTCTCACGGATGGACTACTCGGGCGACAGAGTGTGGCAAGCATTCCTGTAACGTCCGTTCGAATGGATTGCCGGTTGTACAACAAAAAAAAACAAGCATTCAAAAAGCATTAAAACAAAAAGACGAAAAAAAAAAAACGCCTGTTTAAAGGCTGGTGCATACAATTGCGTTTGGTCGCCACCGAGTGTGTTGTCCAGCCTTGTGCTCGCTTACGACGAGAGCAGACACTGACGCCATCTATCTTGTAGACCTGGAACACTTACTATTTGCGTGTATTTTCCACCTTGCTTGAGTGTCATTCTTTCACCACGAGCTTTAAAAACCATTGACAATGTTGTAAGCGATCGTTTCTCATAGATAGCACCCACATTTGATCTCGCCAATACTGTAAAGCCTTCACTCTAGTTAGGATGCGGTGGTTTTACCTCATAGATGGCGCCAGCGTGCTGGTCTGAGAGGCTCCATCTGAAGCCATGGTCGCGAGCGCGCATGCACTGCGTTGTCGGTTGGTGGCCAGGAAGAAAGCGGGCTGAAAGGCGGAGGCGTTTGCAGACGACCGCCGGTTTCGTCACCTCCTCGCAGCTTGTATCGCAAACGCGGCCCATAAACCACGTAACCTCGATCGAGCAGTTGGAAACTCTCTGTAAGATAGGCTGTAGTGGTCTCTTCTCGGAAGGCTGCACGAGGCCGCCCAACGCACTTAATTAGAAACGAATGCAAGCGTGTGAACGTCTAGCGCAGGGGTCTCCAGACCCCGGTCCAAGGAGGCGTTCCGGCCGGCCCGCGGATAGACGCGGTCTTGTCGTTGACGCTCGGTCCGCGGCCCGCTGCTACAAACGCAAAAATAAACGCGTGTAGGAAAAGAAAGCGGCACCACGACGGTGCACCAAAAGCGGGAACGAATACATAAAAAATTTTGAGAGCAATCTGCATCAAAACATAGGATCTCTCGCCAGAATATTTATTGCACATTGTTATCCCCAGAATTACTATTCGCAGTTCCCTGGTTTATGTCAGTGTAACTATATGATAAAATTGCTAAGCGTTCTCGTGAACATTTGGCTTAGTGCCCTGCGTCATAACTATTGCATATTTTCATCAGCAGATTTACCATTCTCATTAGTCTTCTGCCCTGTGTGAATATGCCAGAGTTCCAGTGCGCTTTGATTTATGCCTTTTCTGAGTTACAATTTTGTAATGTTATATAATCAGAAAGATATTACATTTAGAAAGAAAGTTTATATATTCACCACTTTACTTTTTTTTTTTTAGTTTTTGCTGAAGTTGTATTTTTGTATTTAAATGCTTATTTTGGTTTATTTAGTTAGTTTTTTTTTTTTTTTTTTCATTTATATCGTCTTAATTAGTTTCCGGCCCTCGAGGCTGCGATAGGTCCCCAATCCGGCACCTTAGTCGAAAAATTTAGAGATCCTTGATCTAGTGGGAAGAATAAAACATACAGAGGACCAAAGAGTGGAGACATTTTTCCAGAGGGGAAGTCGATCACGACGGATCAACCAGATTCACGAAAGCAGCTTAGGAGGTGGTAACTTATCCCGAACTAATGGCCTCTTGGGCGCCGCCGGCCAGTGTTTACCATGCCTAGTGGCGGCTGTTTCGGGGGGGGGGGGGGGGGGGGGGGGGTAAACACACTTGCCTCTCCCCCCCCCCCCCCCCCCCCCCCCCCCTCTCTGAGAACTGGGGAAACAAGCGCCTATTGACAGGGTTTTTCTAATCTTTCCTATATCGTTGTCATTCTCTCAAGGCGAACGGTGGCGAGAGTCCCGAGTATTAAAACCACTATTGCATCTTAAACAGGCAGTCAGGTAGAGATATTGAATGCTTTGCACAATCGCAATGTTTTAAAATTTCGGCACTTTTGAGGTGTAAAGTAATTTCTCTCCGCGATAGACAAGAAAGCGGGATACCTTATATTATTTGTATCGCGCGGTGTTGACCAAGACCTGCTTCCAAGACAAACAACTATACGCAAAGTGGGCGGTCACGAAGTACGCAAACACGCAGCCCGAAAGAGGCTTGTCGTATGTTGTGCACGGGTCAATCAATGCGTGAAGTTCTGACTGGTGTGTCCCGTTCACCACACGTTTCAAAAACAACAAAATGGTATCCCCACTTTTCACCGAAAATGAAAAAAAAAAAAAAAAAAAAAAGAGTCTAAATTATGTAATTGCCAGACGAGGGTCACTTCTCTGGTCTCGAACTGGAACTAACTGGAACCCCTTAATATAAAGTGCGATATAGTAGCATGCCCCTAGTCTCCAGAGAATGTTTTATTGATTGCTCAATGGGCAGTGAGGTGTGTCCAAATACAAAGTTGACCGTACTCCATTTCACATTAAGTCGATCCAACCAAGGCCAAAGCAACTTTCGGATAGATGGCAGCTTGGGCGAGTTGGTGAAGCATCAAAACTTAGACAGCAGATCCTACAGCGCCAAAAATGTATCGTCATGACGCTCGTCGCCTGTGTGCGTTCTCCGGCTAGACGTATAACCCACAGTGAATACGGCGTGGATCCTTCGCTTTTTTTCCCGCGCGTGAATGTTTCCGCCGGATATAGACCTTTCTAGCGGCAGCCTGGAACAAAGCGCCAGGGCAGAAAATGCTGAGTCACTGAGCTGTGGACGGATCCGCAGCATCCGATGTACCGCACATCCGACCAACATTGCATGCTCAGAAGGCGTTCCACAGCCCAGCAGACAAAGATGACAGCGCGCAGAAGGCAATTTTCGCCAAGGTCTATAGCAGACGCACAAAGACGACGAGCGCCGTGACGATTCACTTTTGGCGCTGGTTGATTGGCTCCCGAGGATAGTGGGTTTGGCTGCGGTCGGACTTAATATCGGAGTACAATTGTTTAGCAGGCGGGAACACGCTTTCCAAGCTACCAAATAACTAAGAAAAAGTCAACAGAAAACTCGCATAAGCTGTCAAACCATGTTTGTGCTGAAAGGTGTCGTTTCACCTTGTATTGTCGAGCGCGGTGTCAAGTCCAAGACGAGACAAACGAGAAAATACAACAGAGTGACAACATGCGGGACACTTTCGCGCTACACTCTAAAAAAAGTCTGTGCGTCTACTTTCGCGCACAACACTCGGAGAGCCAATCACCGCACCTTACGGAGGCAGCTTAGCGAATGACGATGCCGAAACATATGTTTAGACCAAAAAACGCAGTCTGAGTTGTGACATTAAGCAATGCAAGCGTGACGTTTCCCATTGCTTAATGTCACAACTCAGACTGCGTTTTTTGGTCTAAACATATGTTTCGGTATCGTCATTCACTGAGCTGCCTCCGTAAGTTGCGGTGATTGGCTCTCCGAGTGCTGTGCGGGAAAGCAAACGCACATTTTTTTTTTTTTTTTGAATTTATACTATATTTTTTGCGCAACGTCCCCAAAGTCGCGAGCGCGCTCAACGATTTCAAAATTGATCAGACAGAAGAGCGGCCACAGACGGCAAGTATATAGAAGGCAAAGCGTCACAGTCCAGAAGCCAACGTCGCTGCGCCACCGGACACTGCGAGATTGCTTTCCAGAAACCCCAAAACGCACGTCGTTCGAGCGCGCTTCAAATTGTGCCGCCACGTCACTGCCCTCTCGGATCACTTACGTTCATCGTCGGAGGGAATGAGTACGTGACTCGCAACATCCCCCATCCCGCAGGCTTGTCTCAACAAAGTACTCGGTTCTAAGGGCAGTACGTGAACTTAGCCGTGCCGTCCAGAGTCGACCGTCCCCTCCTTCTCGGGGAAAAATTGGATAGCGATCAGCTTGGTGGTCACCGCTGTCCGCGATGCTGACTTGGCGTCGGACTACCGAGCGACGTGCAGGGCGACTCATGCGGCGAAGCAGTACATTGCAATGATGCATTGCTTGTCACTCTGACAGGAAATGGCGGAGGCGGTACTCAAACTAAAGGCTGTCTTCGTCTCTTCTTCCGGAGCTCCTTTGTGTCCTCTCTCCCCACTGGTCGTGAGCGGGAGACCCTCACTTCAAGTCCGACCGCAGCAGACGCTGATCCCATGGCGCCAATCAGCGTCAAAAAGTGCATCGTCACGGCGATGGTCGTCTTTGTGCTATCACCGACTAAACTAGTTACGCGCAGTGAATTCGCCGTTTTTTTCTGAACAAGCTTTTTGGGTTAGCGCTGCCCCCAACGTTACTAAAACACTTAGTTGGGAAACTCACCGTTGAAACCGGGGCAGCTGGCGTCCACCCAGACCTCGAGCTAAATACGACAACAGCGCCACTCTCTATCATTTGTCTTTACTGTGGTCACCTTGAGCTTTTAGAAAGCATGTTTTCGCTTAAAAACCAACAGAAAAAAACTTTTTGTAGTAAAGTTTTTTGGAGTTTAGTACAAAATGAAGAGCGCGTGATGTTTTCTAAAATCTTTAGTTTGCTAGGTTCCGCGGCACCATTAATATTATTTTTATACAACCATGCCTCAGCGGTGTTTTCAGGTAGCGCGTCCCGACCTGCATCCTAACTTCCAGTGTAATTCGCGGCGCGTCCGCTTGGGAGACGGCGGTGGCACCACTGAAACCTCTTCCACCGTATCTGTTTCGGCGCCAAAATGGCCGATTAAAGCCAAAATAAAAGTCACGTGCAGTTCCTCGAGTGGCCGCTGCGGGAGAAATGGCGGCGTTGCGATCGTCATTAGTTCGGTTCGCGAGTACGGATCGGTGCCACTTTTTCAGAGCAGGCTTGTGGCAGTTCCCCAACTGAGTGGTTCTAGCGACGCTAACTGCCCCTAAGGCCCTAGCAACGTTAACCGCCCCTCCTATATAGGCTTATATGCCTGTCAATTTACAGTCCCCCCCGCACGACCACCTTCTCTGCATAACGATTTCGGAAGCGCCATCCCGCGGCTGCTGTGACTATAAAATGATTTGCGCACATAACAACCAGCGCAAGCTCGCGCGAACGTTCGGCTCCCGCCCATCTGATCCTGACGTATCCAGCGGTGTCTGGGCACTTCTGAGCTTATCGGGGTTCCACGTCCCGAAGACATCGAAAACACCGCCAATATTACCAGGAGAGTAAGGGACGCTATGACAGAATGGCCGATGCTGAACCCTTTGGATGTTAATTCCTCCGGAAGGATTGTGTCTTAATTTTTTCGCGCTGGCAGTACCACTTTAAACACAATTCTTTTTCTTTTATGTTGTGATATATTTGTAGCAAGTCTATTCATCTCATACACCTGGCATATTGCTACCAGCGCTGTATTTCTTCGTTACACAATAAGGGTGGTGGGCAATCAGGTGTAAACCTGTGAGGGTCGTAACCTATCTGACTATTATTACCAGACTGTTTTATCCCTCTATGGATACGTGCGACGAATTCGTAACGCTTCAAATATGAGGCGATTTCTGAAGCGGAGGGAGAAATACGCGAGAAGCGATGAGCGCATCGTTTCCGTAACGCTTCAGCCGACGGCACCATCTCTTGACGTCTGTTTCAATCTCAAGGACAACAACACTTTTGGCGCGCGTTCATCAGTTCCGCTGACTGAGATCAGGTAAGTTTCTCGGCGTATATATTATTGAAGAGTCATTCGTGGGCTATTAGTTTGTTTGGAGATCTAATCTAACTCCACAGGGTTTCCATGACACGTTTAATGACCCTATAGATGTAGTAGTTTCGGTCTAGTGTTACTTTTCGAAACGTAACGAATTCGTCAACTCAAGCATTCAATGGAGAAACTGTGAGTGCGCAGGCGAGCTGGTGGATGTTGATCATAATGTAGAAAACCCGAGACTGTGGTAAAAGTAAGGAAACGGAGTCGAAGAAGACAGACAGGGGAAGAACGTCTTTTGAGACGTTCTTTTCTCCTGCCTTTCTTCTTCAACTCCGTTTCCTTACTTTGACCACAGTCTCGGATTTTCTACATTATGATTCAATGGAGAATTTTTTTTTCTGCCCTAGCATGGGTACAGGATCATTTTACGGGAGTCGCAGGAAGGACTGGGATTGTCTCGCTCGTCCGGCTGGAGGTGACAGTGACGAGGAGTTCTTTGATGATTTTGACGACGATGCTGACTATATTCCGGGAAAGGAAGTTTCAAGCGAAAGTGAAATACTAACAATAAACGAAGCGACGTTAAGTGCCGGGTCTCTCCCGAAAGCAGTCGTCAGAGGATGCGGGCTTGATCCACTTGGGCTTTTGTGCTGAGCTGGGCACCTTGCATGCTGCATTGTTCATGCAGGCCAGAGTGGTAACAAAACAGACCCTCCTCCCACTCGGAGGAGGGTCTGTTGAGCGGGAGGAAGGACTCAATGTGAGTGTGCAGCTCTACGCTCCCAACTCTGGTTTAGAAAAGTTTTTTTTTTTTTCCTTTTCGTAGCCTGGCAGCAAACTACCGAACTGTTGCGTGACTTAGCAACTTGAAAGTATGACAAGCTACCTCACCCCATTCGCATAGGAACTCTTAATATACGCGGTTTAAATTCATGCAAGAAACATATATTGTTTGCATTCAAGAAACCAAAATGGAGAACGCTAACGACATTGAACGAGCTCTGAGGCCTTTTCTTCACTGATACCAGGTGTGTGCGTGCCACGCAGTAGGCCTCTCCGCGGGCTTTTTTTTTTTTTTATTTCTCTCGAAGACTGTGCAATTCCAAGAATTAAGCATAGTAGCCGACAGTCAAGGGCGATTTATAATGTGTTACTTCACCTTGCATAACTTTGAGTGGCGGGTACTGTTTATGTATGCCCCAAATCGGGTCGATGAAAGAGTTCGTTTTTTCGCGAGATTGCAGACGTACTTGCAATATGAGAAAGTCGTGCTCGCAGGAGATTTTAACTGCGTATGTAGTAGCGAAGATAGTACGCCGCCCAGACTGCACAAAGATATGAGCGTGAAAGGTTTGAAGAATATACTAAACGTGTGCAGCTTAGAAGATGTCGGGCAACTCATGGGCTCAAAAGTTAATTTTCGTTATACTCCCTTTCAGTCATCATCTCACGCTCGTTTGGACTTCATTTACGTGTCAGTTGAAGCTGTCAGTGAGGTAACCGACTGCAATGTGAAGCCAGTATTTTTCAGTGACCACAGCTTAGTGACAGTTACTTTGGAAAGCACCACTCAACCTAGAAAGAAGCTTAATTGGGAACTGTGGAAAATTAATGTTAAACTGCTCAAAGATGATATTTTCGTCGAGCGTGTGACACAGGCCTTAGAAACATTATCAGCGAGGACACAGCTCAGCCTTTTAGAGTAAGGGGAATACTTGAAACAAGAAGTTAAAGAGCTCGCAATTGAAAGATCCTCTCAGATTATTTTTTCGGCTAAGAGGGAGGAAAAAGAGCTGCACGGATACTGGCTCGATCTACTGCGAAGCGAAAGCGAGCACCCGGGGTCATGCGCCGCAGAATTAAAGCACATTAAAGCCAAGCTAGACAGTTTCCAGCAGATACCGTGGAGCGGTCATACGTTCACGATCTGAGAAGTTTCTTGTAGGGGAACAGCCCACAAGGCGCGCTTTGGGCGTGGAAAAAAAAAATTTGCGCTTGCGAAGGAAATTTTAGCCATCGAACACGAAGGAGTTATCAGCAATGACAAGGCTGTAATTCAGGACACCTTTTTGAGGCATTATCAGAGCCTCTTCGGGGGCGATAAAGAGCCAAAAAGCCAAGCTTCTCTCGATTACTTGCTTCGTAACGCGCCAAAATTATCGCAAGAAGAGAAAGAATGGCTAGAAGGACCAATCACAGAAGGCGAGGTAGAGCGCGCGATTGATACTTTGCCTATGCACAAAACGCCAGGACCGGACGGACTCAGCGGAGAGTTTTACAAGAAATTTAAAAATTATTTGCGTTCTTTTCTGCTCGAGGTAATTTGTGAAGCTTTCAAGAATAAAACGTTGCCACCTTCCTTTCTTTAAACACACACAGTACTGATTCCCAAGACAGACGACGTTGAGAAGCGAAAGCACGTTAGCGGATACCGCCCGATCGCACTCTGCAACGTGGATTATAAAATATATGCGAGGATTTTAACTGAAAGACTTCAAAGCGTTATTTCTATATTAGTGGGAACACAACAAACATGCGGCATCAAAGGAAGAACTATCCAAAGTAACATCCGTGTAACCCGTACTATTCTCGACTTTTGTAAGTCGGAAAGGAACCAAGTTGCAGTTCTTCTGATCGATCTAGACAAAGCATTCGACCGCGTACATCACGATGTTCTTTGGAAAATGTTAGCTCACGCGAATGTGGGAAAGATAGTACTCGAGGGGGTAAGACTGGCGTATACAGGATGTACGACGAAGCTGGTGCTGAACCATGTTTTAACACCCAAAACACGAGTGCTGTCTTCAGTGCGACAGGGCTGCCCCTTGTCTCCGCTCATGTTAGCCTTGTACCTGGAGCCTTTCTGCCTAAGTGTATTGCAGAGTGAACTAGGGCGTGGGTACGCCATGGGAAATATAGAAGTAAAAGTCCTCGCGTACGCGGACGATGTAGCGGTCTTTTGTGCAGATAAGAAAAGCGTCGGGCATGCTTTAAATTTGTGCAGAACATTTTGTGACGCTACTGGTGCGGTGATTAACATGAACAAATATAACGGCTTATGGCACGGTGAGTGGGCCACTACGCCCCGCCAGTTTGAAGGCGTTCAGTGGAGCTGTTCACATGGCAGGTACC